GATCATGAACGAACAATATTAAAATTTCGTGAAACAGTTAAAAATATGCAAGTATGTTTATTTGTATTAATTAATAAATTTATTTAAAAAAACAAAAATTTTTCCTTCAAGTTTCAAAATGAACAATGTAAAAAACAAATTGAAAAATATGATGAACAATTAAAACTTATTGGTTCAGTTCAATCAAGTGAATTTAAAGCTAAAATTGTTGAAACTAAAACATATGGTGAAATAATTGAAAATGAATTAAAAAAACTTGATGTACAAAATTTAACAAGACATGTTCATTTTTTAACATTATTTTTACCTGAACAATTTCTTAAACGTGGTGCTGATCAAGATTGTATACTTGTTCTTTTACTTATACATCGTTTAATATCTAAATGTGATTTATTAATAAATGAAATACAAAAAAAATTTCCAAGAATTGATCAATTAAATTTTGATGATGTTGTTAAATAACATCGTGCAGAAGAATGGAGTTTTGCATGTAAACTTTCACAATCATTATCAATTTTTCAAATCATTCTTCGAACATTCGTCAAGTACGAGTCTTTTTTTTTTGTCTTTGAAAAAGCACTTCATGGCTCATTTAATATGTTCAAATTTTCAGTCAACTAGAACAGCTTTATTATCAAAAATTTGCACTTAAAATTTCATACTAAATGATATAACTGGAGACTTGTGCGACCAGTTAGCAGCACCATACTAGAGCTGTCAAGAGTAGAGGCTATCGAGTCGAAAACTTTTCGAACCCCAGCCCGGATCCGATATGCTCTAGTCAACAGGTCACTTTTTTTAATTCACTAAGTTCTGTAACCTTATCATGATGTATCATTCTATATTTGAAATTATACCAAGGAAAATAATATTACATCATACATAGGCCAACAACTTTGACTTGACCTGATCTGTTAGCATGATTGAATATTATATAGATGGATCAGGTCAGAATGATAGTTCTGATTTCTCTCAATAATCTTTGTTTTGTTTTATAATTTTCTTGATTTTAATTAAGATTAAATATAAAATCTGAACATAATAAAAAAATGTTGATTTTTCTATTTCAATTGAGAATAAGAATGAGATA